GGTCTTGGGTATGATTCCTAGCGTAGGCACACGCACATGCACACGTGCACACACACACACACACGCACACACGCACACACGCACACACACACAGCATTTTGCTTAGGCTGGCTCAAGCTGGTAATTCTTTTGCCTCAGTTCCTGGAGTGCTGGGATTGCAAATGTATGTCTTCTAGGTCTGGCTTCCCCATAGCCTTTAACTTTTTAAAATTAAAAAAAAAAAGGGGGGGGGTGTTTTTGTTGTTCTGAATAAAGTTTTGTTGAGACACAGCCGCCACATCTGTCACTTGCGTCGCGTGGTCGCCTGGGACTAAGAAGCTCCACGTGAGTGACAGCTGCAGAGCTGCGCAGGCGGGCAGCCTGGAGGGCCACGAAGCCCACACGCTTTTCTCGCTGGCCTTCTGCGGCAGGTGTGCCAGCCCCCAAGCAGGGGCCTGTGTGTGGCCAACAAGCATAAAACACCAGCCCACAACTGCCACGATCCGTGAAGGGCTGAGAGAAGCAAGACACAGTCACGCGTAAGCTCACATCTGCCCACTCGCCAAGCTATGACTTGGGAATCTGAAGCAGGCTGGACACCGTCCTCTGTGAAAGTGCAGACCGCGATTACAGAAGATCAACTTGGAGCTGCCAGGATCACTCAGCGGTCTGCAAGGCATGCTCAGGCAAGCTCAGGCAGGCGCAGGGGGCCGCAGATCCATCCCAGCACCTCGTGCCACGCCAGCCCCACCGTCAGGGTGGGCTGGGCCGGCCAAAAAAAAAGATCAACTTGGCTCACATTTTGTGATGTTAAGAAAGAAGCTATCAGTATTTCTAAACTGTAAACAAGGAGGAACGGAAGTGTCAAAGGAGACACAGGGACTGCATGTGGACGTAACTTACGCTGTCTCATTGTCTTAAGCCTCCTATGCGTAACTCAGGCAAAAGTGAATCCCTCTCAGTGACCATCTTTCCGTGTGCTGCCTTTTCTCCATCCGTCTGGGCCTGCATCTTTCGTCTGACTCTCAGCAGTTCTGCCTGGCTGGCTTTGTCTTCTGGCGCCACGTCTTGAGCTCTCTGAAGATCAGCCTGTGTTTGATTGGATTCTTTTAGTCCCTGCCCTCCTGGAGCTCTGCGGCACAGTGCGTGGGTATTCGGTGGATCTATTTCCCAAGGCGCCAGAGCCCTGCCTGCCAGGCCACGCTCCAGGCCACAGCCTCAGCCTGCACCCGCCTGCTCCCTGCCCACCTGCCTTCTCCAGCTTGCGCACCAGCAGCGCGCTCCCAGCTCCAGGCCACGGCCGCAGCCTGCACCCGCCTGCTCCCTGCCAACTGCCTTCTCCAGCTTGCGCACCAGCAGCGCGCTCCCAGCTCCAGGCCACGGCCGCAGCCTGCACCCGCCTGCTCCCTGCCAACTGCCTTCTCCAGCTTGCGCACCAGCAGCGCGCTCCCAGCTCCAGGCCACGGCCGCAGCCTGCACCCGCCTGCTCCCTGCCAACTGCCTTCTCCAGCTTGCGCACCAGCAGCGCGCTCCCAGCTCCAGGCCACGGCCGCAGCCCGCCTGCTTCTTTAATAGCAGCCTTAAACTTTGTGCATTTTCTTTCTTTCTTTCTTTCTTTCTTTCTTTCTTTCTTTCTTTCTTTCTTTCGTCTGTCTTTTTGAAACAGGGTCTCCCTATGCAACTCAGGCTGCCCTTGGGCTCACTTTGTAGCCAGGCTGGTCTCAAACTTGCAGCCATCCTCCTGAGTGCTAGGATTACAGGCAGGTGTCACCACGTCCAGCTCTTTCATGCATTTTTCTTTTCGTTTTTCTTCTTCTTCTTCTTCTTCTTTTTTTCTTTTGGCAGGACCGGGGATTGAACTCAGACCTGTGTGCTTGCCAGGGAAGCGTGTATTGCACTGAGCCATCTCCCCGGCCCCTTTTCATGCATTTTTCTAAAGGACACCTCCCAGTACTGACACTCAAAAAAAGTATTTCCAATGTTTTTCTTAAAGTCTCCTATCATCAATACAATTTTATTTGCATCTTTATAATCCGCACCTGCACTATCAGGGCGATCTGGCCGACTCCCGCCAGGGCCTCCTGGGATAGTCTCCAGGCATCCCCTTTCTCAGTTCCCCGCAGCCTGCAATAACGCACAGCTGCTGGTCTTTCACCATTTGCTTCTCCATCTTGCAGTCTGCCCCCGACACCTGCCCTTTCATTCCTTAGCCAAACACCACCTGGTTCCCATCCAAATGAGGGGCTGGACCTGTCGGGAGAAAGAACTGGGAAGACTTTGTCTCGTGTCCTGCATTTGCCGCGCTCCACTGACCCTTGTGGTCGTGCTTATAATGCAAGTTTCCGTCTTCAAGCTTTTCACCACAAATACTTTCCTTCCTTTTCATTCTGATTTGAGAAGTCTTCACCCTGAATCATGAATTGCGTGATAATTTAGGGAAAGGACATCCATTGAGATGAAGAAGTTTCCCGGTCGTGGGTCCATTGCCTTTTTCTCCTGTGCATAATACATGAAAGTATTCTGAAACTTGGGTACAATATCTGCAACCAAGTCTAAAGCATTTCAAAAAAAAAAAAAAGTCTAAAGTATTTCAACTGACTTTCTCCCTGCTGCTGTCCACGTCAAAGAAGACCTAGCGGTTACTAAGTGTGACTGCCCTTCTTTGTGTGTGACTGGTTTTTGTTGTTGTTGTTGTTGTTTGTTTTTTGTTTTTTGAGGTAGAGTCTCAGTGTGTGGTTCACCCTGGCCTTGAACTCACTAAGTAGCCGAGGCTGGCCTCCTGCCTCAGCTTCCCAAGTGCTGGGATTGCAGGCGTGCACTGCTGAGCCTGGCTCGCATAGCTTTATAACTCATTAGTGCATTCGTAGATTGAGAGCAGGTGAGAAAGTAATGAAAGAATCCCATCCTAGATCTTTTTGCACAAGGTCACAGGCTGTTATAAGTGTGACAGTGGGAATTCCCACGGTGCCGAGACTTTCGAGGCAAGTTGCTGGAACGTGGTGGCACGGGACAGTCTATGTGAGTCTGACTTAGGCTGGATGGCAGATGGGGCCGTGAGCGGCAGTAGGGGGCACCAGGAGGGGACGGGCCTAGGCAGGACAGTTGAGTCTGGTGCCAGAGGAGATGCCAAGGAGGCAGGTGGCCCCGTGGCTGTGGAGATGAGGGCGGCACAGGGCTGACTCATTATGTGCCGTTGGGACTTGAGAGCAGTGGGCTCAACTAACTCTGCACTGCAGCCCCCTCTGGGGAGCTTGAACAGAGCAGGGCTCAGTCCTTAGCCACCCCAGCCACGCCTCAGTGCCACGGATTCCTCCAGGCACTATACAGGACAACACGATGGGAAGTGCGTTTAGATGCCTGGGCGTGGCCGTGTACGCCCAAATCCCAGCCACCCGGGAGGTGAAAGGGAGGTCCTGAGTTGGAGCCCAGCATGGGCAATGTGGGAAGACCCCACCTCCAAGTGAACGTGCAGAAAGGCCAGGGATGTAGCTCAGCGTGGGCCTGGTGTGGCACACGGAGATGTCTGAGACGGGAGGCTGCAGTCAGCGGGGCTCCGTGACTCTGAGGAAAGCTGAGTGAAACGGAAGCACAGGCTGGCCGTGAGGCAGGGGCGAGAAATGCATGCCGCGGCAGCGTGTGGGTATGCGGGAAGGATTTTTCTTGTTTTTAGGGTCTAACATGCAGACACTTAAATGCACAGTTCCTAGGTGTATAGCTCAATGGATTTCTGAATATATACATCTGTTTAACCACCTCCTAGATCAAGATACAAAGCGTTTCCAGAAAATTCCTGTAACTCCTGCCTGTGTGGTATCCAGAAAAGTTATTCTATCTCCTGGAATGGAGCCCAGAGCCTTTGCCCTGGGGCACATCCCCAGCCCCTTTCTTTCTTTTTTTTTCTTTCTTTCTTTCTTTCTTTCTTTCTTATTTTGAAGCAGGGTCTTTTTTAAAAAAATTTAAGATATTTATTTATTTATTGTGGCAGGGCTGGCATGGCAGGTGGTGCAGGGATAGAAGCTTGGTCCCTGAGGTTGCCTAAGCAGCCACTTCAGACTGCTGAGCTATCTCGCTAGCCCAAGGCAGGTTCTTTCTTTCTTTCTTTCTTTCTTTCTTTCTTTCTTTCTTTCTTTCTTTTTTAATTTTACGGACGGGTCTACAGGGTGTTCAGGATCTCACTACTAGATTGGACTCGTAGTGATCCGCCTGTTTACAGCCTCCCAAGAGCTGGGATTACAGGCATGTGCCACCACGCCCAGTCTCAGCGTGCCCAGGGGCTGGGCTGGCACGGCAGGCCCGGGGATCAAACCCCGGCCCCTGTGTCTGCTTGAGGGCGTTTTAATCCACTGAGCTATTTGGCCGGCCCTCAAGGCATGGTCTTTCAAAGCCACTGAGTTGTCTAGGTTGGGCTCTAACTTGGCAGTTCTCCTGCCTCAGCTTCCCCAGTGCTGGGATTACGGGCATGTGTCATTGCCACCGGAACTCTGACTGGCTTGGTCTGCCTGGGGATGGGGCTGGTGCGGCATGTGGTGCCAGGGATCGAACCGTAACCCCTGCACTTGCCTAAGCTTACCTAAGCAGGCACTTCAGTCAGCTGCGCTATCTAGCCGGCCCCCTCAATGGACAATTGAGTGGTTTCCAGTTGGGGCTAATCTGAGTCTTAAGGCCGTTTCATGTCTTTGGGAAGATATATGCAGACACTGTCATTGGATAGCTGCCAAGCAGTGGAATCGCCAGCTCGTAGGCTGTGTGCTGAAGCAGATCCTACCAAAGCACTCTCCAAAGTGGTTCCACTGAACCCATGCTTCTGCTTGCAGTGGCGAAGAGTTTCAGTTGCTTCGTGACAATAGTCCTGGGGATTTTAGCCATGCTAGGGGGTATTTAGTGGCTTCTTGTGGTGATTTTAATTTGCATTTCCCTGCTCACTAGCGATATTGTAAACCTTTTGATAGCTATTGGGCTTTCCGAGCTCTCCTCTTCTGGCCCCTGTCCTTTGCTGTTTTGTTTTATAAGAGTTCTTTGGCTTTCTGTCCGACATCTTGACGAGCCTGCAGTGGTCTTCGCTGCTCTCCGGGCTCCGCGATGCCGCCCAAAGACGACAAGAAGAAGAAAGATGCCGGAAAGTCGGCCAAGAAAGACAAAGACCCACTGAACAAATCTGGGGGCAAGGCCAAAAAAAAGAAGTGGTCCAAAGGCAAAGTTCGGGACAAGCTGAACAACTTGGTTCTGTTCGATAAAGCTACTTACGACAAACTCTGTAAGGAAGTTCCCAACTATAAACTCATAACGCCTGCTGTGGTCTCTGAGAGACTGAAGATCCGTGGATCACTGGCCAGAGCAGCCCTTCAGGAGCTCCTTAGTAAAGGGCTTATCAAGTTGGTTTCAAAGCACAGAGCTCAAGTTATTTATACCAGAAATACCAAGGGTGGAGATGCTCCTGCCGCTGGTGAAGATGCATGATGAATAGGCTCAACCAGGTGTACATTTGGAAAAAATAAAATTTTATTATTAAAAAAAAAAAAAGAGTTCTTTGTTTTAGATTTTAATCCTCTGTGTTTGTCTTGCATAGTTTCTCCCTATCTGTGGCTGGCCTTCTTGCTTTCTTACTGATGTCAGTCATTGACCAAAAGCTAGTTCTTGCTCTGGGGATGTAGCTCAGTGGTAGAGTGCTTGCCTGGCACGCACGAGGCCTTGTGTTCAATTCTAATCAGGTTCTTTTTTTATGGTTTGGCTTTGTGTGTTCCACTTAAAGTATCATTTCTTACTCTCAAATTATAAGGATTTGGGCCTGTTTTTTCTTTTGAAAGATGTTATCAGAAAGGCAATACCTGGCTGGGGAGATAGCTTGGTGGTCTAAGAGCCTGTCCATCAAATGCAAGGTCCTGAGTTTGATCCCCAGTACTACATGCTGTGCTGGTCTCGGACTGTGCTGGCCTTGAAACCTGGCGTGGTGGTACAAGCCTGTAATCCCAGCACTGGGAAGGCTGAAACAAGAGGATCAGCTTAGTGAGACCTGTATCAAATAAATTTTTAAAGGAGAGAGAAAGGCCTTGCCTTTCATATTTAGGTCTAAGATCCATCTCACTACAGTAATTTCCGTGATTGGACATATAACAAAGACTGATTTTTTGACCTATATCTTCAAATGACAGCATCATTCACTGAACAGATCATCTTTTATCCTTTTAATGAGGGGGCACGTTTGTCGTTAATCAAGTGAGCACACATGCCTGGGTCTCTGGTCCCTATTTTATCTTGTAAACCCTCGAACCTTTGCACTAAGTCTCAGTGTATGACAATGTATGTCTTCAGTGAGAGGACATGGTTGTGGTTTCATTCTTTTGTTTTTTAAAGGGAGACATTTAAGTCTGTCAAAAGCTAGTGGGGGTGGAGGAAAAGAGATGTAAAAAGAATTAGGTCGTGCTGTGCACCTGCATGAAGTCCCCACAGCAAATGAGCTCAATCTGTGCTCCAAACACGGGTGAATAAAAAGTAAAGAAAAAAAAAAGAGTAAAGAAAAGCGGAGCAGGGGAGATAGCTCCGTAGAATAAGCGCTTGAGTGGAAAGCGCAAGGGTCTCAGTTCAATCCCTGGTTCCACCAAAAAATAAATAAGTAAAAAACAAAGGTGAAAAAGTATTTAAAAAGAAAAAAGAAAAGCAATCAAAGGCTAAGGAGAACAATGCAGGTGTGGGTGCAGGTTAAGGAACAGGCGGGAGCAAGAGGTCCCCCCACACCGCAGACTGGGAGAGGACAGGAGCTGGGCCCAGGGCCCGGGAAGTCCCAGGCCGGGCAGGTTGGCCCTGGCTTCCCCTCCACTGATGGCTCCCAGCAGATGCCCGTCTTCCCACCCCACAGATCTCCACCCTGTCCTGAAGCTCCTACCTTAGCAGTGGGAGTAAGACAAAGCAAACAAATAGACACAGCAACAAATGGATATTCAGGCCCAGAAAATGCCAGAAGGAGCAGGAGCAGGCATTGTGATGGGCCTGTGGGAGACTCCTGGGCCCAGGCGTCTGTGAAAGGGCCAAGGGCTGTGCCTTAAAAGCTGACCAAGCTGAGTGAGGCCACCCAGAGTGCACGGTGCAAAGGCCCTGAGGCTGGAGAAAGCCTCTAGGGTTGGAAAAACAAAAGGGGGAGGGACTGCAGCAGGAGGACCTACTAACCTCCACAAGAGGGAGACCTGCAGTGGGGCTGGGTGCCAGGGCAGAGCTGGGTGAGGTCTGTGAGCTGAAGGGTGATGGGGTGTGGGGTGCGCTGTCTCCTTCCTGAAGCACCTCTCACACTAGGTCTGTCTATCTGTCTCTCCCTGCAGCCTTCCGGATCATGCCAGCCCAGAGAGCCCTGACCATCGGCTTGGCCTTTTTGGTGCTGCTGGGCACAGCCCGAGCAGGGCCCTTCTCCCCGAGGTCCAATGTGACACTCCCAGCCCCACGGCCCCCTCCCCGGCCAGGGGGCCGCACGGCAGGGGCAGGAGAGGGGCGCCCCTCTTCTCAGCACTATGAACACACGGTGGAGGGAGGGGAGAAGCAAGTGGTCTTCACCCACCGCATCAACCTCCCGCCCTCGGCCGGCTGTGGCTGTGCCCCGGGCGCAGAGCCCTCTGCCCCTGCATCGGAGGTGCAGGCCCTGAGGGCCCGGCTGGAGGCCCTGGAGGCGCTGGTGAGGGGGCTCAAGGAGCAGTGCAGCGGGGGCTGTTGTCCTGCCGCTGCCCAGGCAGGCACAGGTGAGCAGGGGCACTGGGAGGAGGAGGGGACGGGGCCTGGCCATGAGGGACCTTGATGTAAATTGGAAAGAGTCCGGCCTTCGAGGCCAGGGCACAGAGCACAATTTGGAGAGTGGAGCGGGGCTAGATGTCAACCCAAGCATTTCCTAAGCCCCCCACCCTAAGCACGCGCGCGTGCACACACTGTCGCGTTCACAAGCGCAGGAACCAGCGAGCAGCTAGGGTAGACTTAGGGAGTGAGGCCGGCCCTACCCCTGGGCGCCCCACGGGCTCCTTCTCTTGTCGGGAGACCGACGCCTGCCTCCCTCTTGGTTCCGCCGCAGGCAAGACGGACGTGCGCAGCCTCTGCAGCCTCCACGGTGTATTCGACCTGAGCCGCTGCGCGTGCTCCTGCGAGCCGGGCTGGGGCGGCGCGACCTGCTCGGAGCCCGCGGAGACCCCCGCCTCCTCCGCGCCCGCGGCACCCACGTCTTGCCCCGAGGACTGCAACGACCAGGGCCGCTGCGTCCGCGGGCGCTGCGTGTGCTTCCCCGGCTTCAGCGGCCCGAGCTGCGCCTGGCCCTCGTGCCCCGGGGACTGTCAGGGCCGCGGGCGCTGCGTGCAGGGCGCGTGCGTGTGCCGGGCGGGCTTCGCGGG